CCTGTCAGGTGTGACATATGGGCGATGCTGAGGGATGGATGCCCAAGAGCTAATATGTTGCAAAGGATCCCTGGTGGTGCCATGGGTTAAGTATTAGGCTCTTGATCAGAAGGTGAATCGTTTGAGTGTTCCAACCACTCAGGAGCAAGATGTGTGCTTCCAGAAACTTCTCGGGAAGAGTGGTCCACCCTTGAAGGTCACTATTGAGTCTGATGGCAGTGGGTTTATTTTTAATATGCTGCCATCAAAGGGGATACTGTCGTGGGCTGAGAGATGGCAGCTTAAAAAGAGGGAGAAGGACATAAAAGAAGGGGTGAGGATGGCAGATGATCCCCCCCAGACCCCAGGTGCGGTGGAAAAGGCCCGTCACACCCTGGGAGGAGTGTCCTGGTGGCTTCCTGGTGTCAGCACACACAGCTAGCTGCCTGCTGACCCCCTCCCTGGAGGGAGGAAGTCACAGCAGTCTCTTGGCCAGCCAGGGGCGCTAGCTCCTGATCAGGAGGTGAGGCTTACAGTAGGCTGTTGTCCACTTGAGGACTGTGCTCAAAGGTACTCCAGTTAGTCCAGAAACGGTGAACTGCAGTTGGCGTTGTCTATTAGACTACCAGAATACGTAAGAGTTTCCTCAATCATCTGAACGTTGAAGTGGTCTAGTTGCAGAATCTGTCTCCTGGGAGACCCTGGTGGACCTCTTGAAGGTGGAGAGGCTCTTGATGCCCAGCCCTGGACGAGCCTTGGTTTGGTTCTGGCCCCTCTCTCCCCACCATCAGTGATTGCCTGCAGTTGCTTGTTGCTGAGCAGCTTTTTCTCTCAGATTTCTCCAGCCATTTTCTGGACCCAGAAACTGACCTTCAGGAATTGAGTTTGGAGTTTTGTGGGTGGGATGATTCTAAAAGGGAAGAAATAAGAGATTGGCATATGAAGGGAGCCAAAGATGGGTAGACCAGTGGTGGGCAGGGAAATGGACTGAAAAACAAACTGAAACCTTAGCTCTAATCTGTAAGCCACAGCCTCTCAAGTCCTGTGGCCAGAACTGTTGATGTCAAGTTTTGA